CTGATATTATGGGAGAGGGACCCCAAATATCAGTGTATACTAAGTCTAATACATGTTGACTAGTTCGTGGTACGCTGTCTAACTTGAAACATGACGATTTTCCTAAATGACAAGAATTACAAGAGTCAATTTGGCCATTTTTATTATGTGACACCGGACAGACTTGTAACACTTTATTTAAAGCTTGCTTGTGTGGGTGACCGAGTCTTTGATGCCATATTGTGGGAGTAGCCCGGGAACTGACGAACGCGAAACTCGACCGACACACCGGAAGCTTGTATAGCCCGCCCGATGTGGAACCTCTAAGCAGAACCGCCCGAGTTGTGAAATCCTTCACAATGAAACAGTTACTGTGAAATTCAAAAAAGACATTATTATCTACAGTAAACTTATGAACAGATAATAATGGGACCGAAAGACTAGGAACGTGTAATATATCGTGCAATTTCCAAACCTGCGCCATTGCCCACCCGTAACACGTCCGAACCACCGTACTCCTCGGACTGCCCCATCATCGCCGCGTCAGGGGTAGCGTGGGCTGTTGCACCAGTATCCGGATACCAAGTGTCTGCCGGAACGGGATGCGGGGCTACCGGGGTGTCGCCGGAGATCGCCACATGGGCCTGCGCCGGCGGTTGGGTGGTGTAGCGCTTGTAGCAGTACACGGTGGAGTGACCATGCGACCTACAGATCTGGCAACGAGGTCCGCCCCGGCCACCACGACCACCACGCTGTCCTCCGCGGTTTCCGCGTCCGCCACCACCACGCTGCTGGTTCGACGAATGGCGACCACCACTGCCACGCGAACCTCCGCCTCGGTTGGTTCCGGCGTACAGCGCCGTGTGGGAAGCCGTAGCATCAGCACTCGGGAAATCATCCACGAGGATGAATTCGTGAGCCTGCAGGAACTCCGACAGACTGGATAACGTCACCGATGCTCCGGACGCCGTGAGGCTGGTGGCTAGCGCCTTCAATTCCGGTCGGAGACCCCTAATTATATATAGGGTCTGCTCCATCTGTGACAGAGGACGCCCGGCCTGGATGAGGGACTCGACAAGAACTCCGGCACGCGCAATGTAGTCGGCGATGGTGGCGTTGCCCTGTCGAAGCTGTTGGAACTGCCCAAGCAGATTGATGCAGCGCGCCTCGCTGGTGGAATCGAGCGCAGACGAGATGGCAGCCCAGATGTCAGCGGAGGTATCCCATCCGAGAGCGAGGTGTAATACCTCATCCGTCATCGCAGAGATGAGTAGCGACACTATCGTCTGGTCTTGCTTGATCCAGGCGTGGTACGCCGGATTCGGAATCAAGGACGCCGGCGTGGTCGATGCGGAACTGCCGGTGGTGGATGGCGCCGGGATCATCTCTGGTGGGCACGGGTGGCTTCCGTCTACGAAGCCGGTGAGCTCCTGGCCGCGAAGAAACGGAAGAAGCTGCATCCTCCAGAATATGAAATTTGTGGATGTAAGCTTCATGGTGACATAGTGATGTGCATCGGTGAGAGCGTTGTCGGCAGCCGGCGTAGGAGAACCGGCGGCGGAGTGAGTACGCTCGGAGGAGTTGGTCGACATATTTGGGTAGGGGAGGGAGATTTCACGGTGGAGATAGGAAGAATTTGGTTGTTTCCGATAACCTGTCGTCTGATACCAGATTAGAGATAATTCTTCGTAGATTAACCAGAGAATAGGAATACAAGAGATATCTAAAATAACTATCTCTAACAGCCCTGACTAATAGACTAGACTCACTACACACCACATATTACATAACTATATTACATGGATATAACATAAAAATAATAATAATACTAACAATCCACACCCAAATTGTAAATCTAGGTGGCAAGGGCCACCTAGCTATAAAGATTACTGTTTTTTTTTTTTTTTTTTTTTTTTTTTTTAACTTCTCCACTTGCAATATTGCAAAATATGAAATTGTAAATCTAGGTGGAAAGTGCCACCTAGAAAGATATTAGTGTTTTAAAAAAACTTTTCCATTTGCAATATTGTAAAATATGAAATTTGATTTTATGAGTCGTTTGATTGAAGGGATGGAATTAGGTGGAACTGATTTTTTTTTACCAATCAAACGCCACGTTAAGGTTGCAAATGTACTTTTTTGAGCCATCTTTTTCATTTTATAATATTGTTGTTCTTGTTGTTCTTGTTGTTCTTGTTGTTGGTATGCAATGTGAAATTTGAAAGTGAGTTGAAATGGTATGCGAAGTGAATAGTAATGAATTGAAAATGTAATGATATAGTAATATGACTCACTTTTAATTGCGAAAAATTATTGCATAAATGTAGATCAAATAGCTTTACAATGTTTGGACTATCTTTTTAGCTAGATAACTTTGGGTCAACTAATGATGTCAAATTATACCATGGATTATGAGTCATGTACCTTGTATCGTGGACAATAGTTCATTATTATAATATTGTAAGTTCATTATAAACTTAGATATATCAAATATAAGTGTAAGTTCATTATAATAATATTGTAGGTTTATTAAAATGGACATCAATTTATTAATTAGCAATTAAATGTATTCGTTTTTTTTATATAAATAAAATTATGTTAACAAAATATTTATATATTTTGAAAATATCTCATTGAGATTTTTTAATGACACTCATATTAATATACTTTTTTAAGTATATCGATTCAATAATTATGTGTTTAGTTATAGTAGTGGCCTAATGAATTTGTAGTCCAGATTCATGATGATATTTAATGAGTGATTACATAGAAATGACTTGCTTTCTATTTGAGTCTTAGTTGTTTACTGATCGACTTGTAATATTTTGCTAAAATGAACCTTTAGTATTTCCTTAGTTGTAATTGCATTATTAATATTATTATCTAATAAAAACATAATAAGTCTCAATCAAAGTTATATCCCTCATTTATGTGTATGTTTTTAATGCTAATCATTTTGTACATTGTGCTTTTAGAGTTGTACTATATAATTTTTTTGATAAAAATACCCCTTTCGTTATAACTTCCGTTATTTTCTATTACCATGCACATGCATCCACCATATATTTTCTTATATTCTTTAATGATAATAATATTTGTAGACATTATATATTGGATTATTATAATAAATAAATATGATTTCATATAAATTTTAATTAGTAAGAATTTGTTAGTTATTTTTAAAAATATAAATATCAGGCATATGTTTTTGCGCATAGAAAAGACTAGTTATTATTATAAAGATTAACCTTCCATATTGTATAAATAACCTATTTTAATAATGTGAAAATGAACATGCAGTATTTCATTAATGAACCTAATTGAGATCCATTATTATAATGTAGTTGTGTTATAATTGTGAAAAGAAATGAGCAAATACTAATTTTGGTCCTACGAGTATTAGCAAAATGATAGTTTTGGTCTACATGTTTAATTTTTACCAATTTTCGTCCACGACTATTGTTTTAGTGCCAAAATTCATCACGTCCACCACCTCGATCTTCGTTTAAGACATGTCAAAATATGAAGTTATTAAGGGTGTTTTCGTCCTTTTCAAATTAAGATAACAATTTGAGCATGAATAAATTAAAAGGATTTAAACCCTAAGATCGATCCTAATTTGCAATTCTCCTCTTCAAATTATGATAGAATGAGGAGAAGAACTGCGAATTGGGATCGATATTAGAGCTTAAATCTCTTTATTCATGCTCAAATTGGGATATTAAATTGAAAAGGATGAAAATACCCTTAAAATTTTAGATTTATGCATTTTTTAAACGGAGGGGTGACCGGCGTGATGAATTTTGACACTAAAACAATATTCATGGATGAAAATTGGTACTAAAACAATAGTCGTGAATAAAAATTGGTAGGAATTAAACATGTGGACCAAAATTGTCATTTTGCTAATACTAGTATGACCAAAATTGGTATTTGTTCAAAAATAAACATACAAAATTATCAAAAAGAACTTATAATATTGTGAAAATGAACTTGTTGGATATGCTTAATGAACTTATTTGATATCCATCAATAAAATGATGTACTTGTATTATAGTATTTTGAATATGAACCTGTAGTATATATATTGAAAATAAACCTGAAGTTGTGGTTTAATGTAATTGTATGTTAATTAAAAATATTAATGTGTCATATATTTAAAAAAAATAAATAGAGCTTCTTAATCATATTTTTTAAAATTTTTAATACAATAATCTTATTTGCACAAAAAGAAAAATATAATAAGTTAAAAAAAAAAAAAGAATTTAACTTGTTTTACCTTGCAAAATAGACCATGGTCCTTTGTATAACAATCCACCAATAATGTGATTGCTTAACATTAAGAGAAGTTTTTATTTTTTTTTCTTTTTAGCAAAATTATTCATAACAAACACATTCCTTAGAGTTACTTTTCTAGAAATTTAATTTAATATTAGAACAATCAAATTAAAAGCTCAATGTCAATGAGCTTGTATATATTTTAGTGGTACGAAGTGGCTCTCTCAAATGAAAGGTCATTTCGAAAAGTATAATATTTTGAGAAAAATTATAATACTTTTAAATCAAAAAATGTAAAAGTATTACATTTTACACTCAAAATTATTACACTTTTATTCTTGATTAATATTATATTTTGTAGTATAAATATTACATTTTACCATATAAATGTTCAATTTTCATCTTAACTGTACACGTAGAGTTTCATAAACAAAGATCTGTGAGAGGCAGTCTCACACAAGTTTTTATCATAATTCTTTAGTATAGTTAGTATTAATTGAGATTATAAATACCGTTCATAATGTAATAGTATGTATAAACTGTATCTTAATTATTGAACTGAGACATTAAACGAGGTGATTGCCTAGTTGTTGGTCCAAGAAATCTCCATCTCTATCCTTAAATTCTCTCAATTCAGAATCATCTTCGATTATCTGTAGTGTATGCTGTCAAGAACAGTTGTGTCAGCATTGAAAATCTGAACAAAAAATCTCCATCTCCATTATCCTTCTCCACAGTATAAGATGCAAGATCAAATTGGGATTCCAGCTTGCTTTTCGTCCAGGGAGAAGCTCACAGACGATCCCGCCGCAATCACCAGTTCCGGGCAGAGCATTTTCGTGTCGGTTTACCGGACCAAGTTTTCCGACCAGCGCAGGCTGGTCACGGTCACCTGGTGCAAGAATCTGCTGCTTCACGAGCTGTCAGTTTCGGTAGATGGCGACGGCGGAGAGCGGCGGCGCACGACGGCGTGCAAGGTGGAGCTGAAGCCGTGGTGTTTCTGGAGGAAGCAAGGATCGAAGCGGGTGGAGGTGGACGGAAAGGCCGTCGACGTATTCTGGGACCTCAAAGCCGCGAAATTCAACGGAGAAACGGAGCCGAGGTCGGAGTACTATGTGGCGGTCGTGTGCGACGACGAGGTCGTTCTGCTCCTCGGCGACATGAAGAACGACGCGTATAGAAAAACGGGTTGCCGGCCGGCGCTGGTGGACCCGGTTTTGGTTTCCAGAAAAGAGCACGTTTTCGGGAAGAAGAAGTTCCAGACAAGGGTTAAGGTTGAGGAAAAAGGCAAACATCATGAGATCTCGGTCGAGTGGAAGAACAGAAACGGGGAAGATCCCGAAATGGAGATCAACGTGGACGACAACTCCGTCATTCACATCAAACATTTGCAGTGGAAATTCAGAGGCAATGAATGCCTCGATCTCACCGACAAGGTGAGAATCCAGGTCTTCTGGGACGTCCACGACTGGCTATTCTGTCCCGGTTTAAGACACGCTCTATTCATTTTCAAACCCGTCCTAAAATCTCCTCCCTCTTCGTCCCCGTCAATCTCACCCTTCTCCTCGTCGTCATCCTCGACCACATCGACGCCATTTTCGTTACAGACTGGGAGTTCGAGTTCTTGTTACTCATCAACAAGCAGCTCATATGAGTTTTGCTTGATTTTATATGCTTGGAAAGGGGAATGATTGGAAAGTCCATAGTAATGCATGCCATATAGCTTAGTAGTTAGTAGCACTAAGCTACCAGAAAGCAGAGGGTAGTGGGTGGGGGGAAAAGTGTGATATTGTAACTCATGTCATGGGCTACTGGGCCCACAAGATCATGTGGTAAGGTACAAGGGGATGCCCAACCACATGAGGGTGTAGTCAAGGTGGGGTCCATTAGAGGTTCCAGCCTTGATGTGGATAAGGAGTGGCCATGCATATTTGGATAATAATAATTAATAATAGCTTGTAACACTATTATTTTGAAAAATATTTCTCTTGAGAATATATATTTTTGTCATGCCATATATATTAATTGGAAGCAAAAAATATTGTAAAATTAAAAGATCACTTTTATTCGAACCCAACTAAAAGTCTAAGCTGGTAGTTAGATTGCACTTTAATAATTATATGCTCAACAAAAACGACCTTGTGGTTGGTGGCATGTATAGAGTGACTCTCTCAAATGGAAGGTTATGGATTTGAATTGCCGTGGATGCGGTATTGATCCTTTATCGTTTAAATTGTGTTTTTAGTTGTTGAGAATAAATGCTCATAGAGGGATTAAATCCAAGTTTAGATTTATCCCTTAGCTCTATGATATTTGTATGTTTAAAATTCCATCAATCAATTATATTATTTTAGATGAATTAGTGGACAAGACAATTTTGTCCATTTTTAATTTGTCTATATTTCAAAATCTTCTTATTTTTGTTCGGACTACACCAGTAATTCTTCTCATGTTAGTCAATTTCATTGCATATAGTATATAGATAGTTTAAAAAACATGAAGTGATTGAAAAAACAAAGAGAGTTATGATGCATATATTATTGGTTTTAAGGGTGATTCTTTTTTTTTTTCTTCCTTTTTGCTTTGTCTTTCATCGTATTAATATGAAACACGTGAAGAGAGTAATAATCTTATATTAGAACACACTAACATTTTCAAAAAATATTATGAATACAAAATCAATAAAAAAAAAAAAGTTAAAAACACAAACTTGTCAAACACGTACCCTCTAAAAGAATCAAATTTGTACTAACTTAAATGACACACAAACTAAATTAATGACACACAAATTAAATATGCAAATTTGTACTAACTTAAATGCTAATTAATCATTTTGATCCAAATCCAAACCATTTTGCCAAAAAGAATCTGTTCTTCGGACGAGGCGGATCGACGGCGGCCTTTGGTGGTGTTGGGGCAGTAACCTCCTTGGGCGACGGCGTTGGTTTCCCTGCTACAGACAAATGTTGATTTTCTTCAATCACCATATAGTTTCACTTTCAATAATCAAAACCCAAAAGAAATATGAAATATTTGACGTGTAGTATTTTATACGCTATATATCATACTTGCTCATCAAAGTTAGAAAAAAAAAAAAAAATTCTTGATGGAGAATAGTGGAAACAATTAATTAAAATATGAAATTACCTGTGTTAGATGACGCTTTGCTACTTCTTGAATTCTTTGTGTCACTACAACTTTTATCGGACTTTGATTTACGACGATTAGAGTTCTTCACTGAAACCTGTTGCTCCAATGCTTCTTCGTTATGGTTACCTGCACTCATCAATATATATAATGTATTTAAGTATATGATGATGAATAATCAGTAAAATATTAAAGTGCAACCAAAATCTTGACCTCTACAAACTTATAATTACCTTCGGCGGGAGGCTCCCCATAACTCTTCTGTAGAGCTTCATTGAAACTTTTATTATCATTGTGATCTTGCATTACTGCAAATAACACCATATATATTAATATATAAACTAAATTTATAATTTTTTGAATGCTACTGACTCTATCAGTATCTGTTCACAAAGAGTCAACAATGCCTCCACTGACGCATGGAAGAAGTCACTACATGCCATTTGAGCACAAGGTGCTTCACTATAAAAATTTTAGCCAATAATTGATAGATTTGATCTTTTACTGACCTCAACAAAACACTTCACCCTTACAAGAGAATATGAAGCAGCATGAAAAATATACATACACTGATCAAAAAGTGTGTTTCTATAATCAGGGGCACTGCCAACCGTGAGAAGCTGCACAGCTTCTGCGTCTCTGGTTTTCATGGGCACCTTAGCAGCAGACAACATCATCAAGTTTCGTGTGTCTAAAAGTATACCTGCAAGCTGAGATCAAGACCGGTTTTCATGGTTTCTATGTAATTTGTAAATCAAGAGGATCTATGGCAATCAAAAAGATTCTTGAATCATATATGTTATACCAATAGCTTTTTCAGCATAGGGGTTTGAAGCAGATCATAAGCTTCCTCACAATAGTTGTCTGTAAGAACAGTGCATTCAGACACAACCTGCACATATATATTATGCTAAATATTATTTAAAGTTTTTATACTTAAATATTAAAATTATACTAATCGCACAGAGGGGAGTCAACAACGCCCCTCCCACATAAGAGAGGTCACTATATGCCATCTGAGCACAATGTGTTTGGCTGCCATCCTTAAATTAGAAATAGAAATACCTCTCCATTGGTTTTTAGGACATCTTCCCCTAAGACTTGGATGATCACTTGTTTAGACTCTGTTAACGTTTCCAAATCCACCTGATTTGAATATAAAAACAAAATATTAAAGGTTCATCAATTTAATTAAAAGAAATGTCATTGTAATATGATGCAATTAAAATTTAAAGAAAATGGGTAAAAATATGTTATATGATCGAATTCTAGTGGTGGGCATTAATTTTTTGGACAAAAAAAGATACCTCATCAAAAAAGAACAAAGCCTTGACATCAAGGCCAACGTGGTGAAATAGCCAAGCCGCCTGGTGTTGCTTCCACATATTCGCCCTTGTACTGTTCATCACAGGCACTACCACCTCACAATCTCTACTTTCATCTCTCTCATTATTAGCCCTCCTTCTATTCTCCAACAACATTGCATAGCATATTGCTGCCACCATTGAACTTGTACCTGCATCCACCATTTCCAATCCCAGTAAGCTTTTTGCAGAAAAACCAAATCAATACTGTATACTAATTCCAAGTATGCATAGTTGTTGGCGGAGGCCGATAAGGGCCAAGTCAACACTGGCTATGAGATTATTGGGCGGAGGCTGATGGCCAAGTCTAGCATTCTGGTTACAAGAAAATAAAGTTGCATCCCGTTGAGCATATAATTAATCCAACTACTTTTAGCTGACATAGAACACGTGCTTCAATTTGGTATCAGTCTGCCGGTTCAAATCTTAGCGCCACTCATAAGCGACTACAGTCAATGTGTTGCTTGAGATAGTCGTATAAACGCTTATCATTACTCGTTAGGGGTATCAGAGCCAAATTAGAAGGAAAATGTTGTTGGACTCAACTGTTTGAATGTCCTGACAGCACAATCCTGGCCTTCAAATCAATCTCTCTGTTCAAAATCATTCCAATTTTTTGCCTCTGATCCCTCAAGAACCCGTTCAATTCTTCACCCTCCTCCGTGCTTTTCTCCTTAAGCTGGACACTATTATCCTCTCCGTTCTTTCGGTATATCTTGTCCATGGAGCAAGTGGACGCAGATATGCATCTCCGGTGAACAGACTCCACCAGTTTTCTCGGCGGGGACAGAATCTTGTCGTTGGGAGCCGAGGAGATCGATCCCCTGCGAGACGAATCGAAGAAATTTTTGGGTGGAGAGACGACCGCCGGATCATCGGGAAGGGCGTTTGTAAAGGCGGGAGGTTTAAAAGTTCGCTTGGATGGGAGTTGATTGGTTGTCTGATGAGATGCATTTTGGAATCGGGACTTTCTGAGCGTTGATTGGCGGGGCGGGAGGGCTAGGTTCGGGCTTGAAGGTGAGTGGTCGCCGGCGGGGGGGCTGTCGGGAATGGAAATGGTGCTATTGGGTGGTTTGAGGATGCCGGAAAACCACTTGTGGATCGCCGTTGAAGGGGAATCCGGTGATGACTGGTCCAGTGGGGTTTCGGATTTGTTCCGGCTATGCTTGCCTGACTTGATCAGAATTTCTTCACTGAAGCCGTCCACTGTTCTACCTCTGCTCAAACATTAAAATTTATATTACAAGTTTTATTAAATATAAAAATTAAAATTGAATTTAAAAATTATTAATATTGATCCAAATCTACGGTCTCATTCCTCATAGGTGTATGAATAAATGAAAAAGATTGAAAATGTATATTACACTTTTGATCCCTGATTAATATGGTAATAACAAATTCAATCTCAATGACATAAGCACTATTTTTTTTTTTTAGTTAGTAGTAAGATTGAATTTTTATCACTTTACCAATAGTTTTATTAAAAATAAGTTTCAAATTGACTACTGAACGTAATCTGAAAATGCAATTAAGCCACTGAAAGAAAAAACAAGTGCAATTAGACCACTGAACACTCCAAAACAATGCAATTAGGTCACTGGACACTCCAAATGTATGCAATTTCAACTGATAGCAGGTTACCATCAATTTCAGCAAGTTACTTGCTTACGTAACAGATGAGTTGACATTTTTAATAATTTTTAATAATAAATTTTTAAAAAATTAAAAAAAAATAAAAGAAAAAAAACAAACAAAAAACTACGGGATGGCCGCCAGCCACCCCCTTACCCCCTCTTCCTTCGTCTATGGCGGAAACGAAGGAGGGGAAAGGGGGTGGTGTGAGATGAAGGACTTGTCTCACGCCACCCCCCTTTCCCCCTTCCTTCAGCGAAGACGAAGGACTTGTCTTCGTCTCCGGTCAGAGACGAGCTTCTCTACGTCTCTGACCGGAGACGAAGACAAGTCATTCGTCTCTGGCGGAGACGAAGGAAGGGGGAAAGGGGGGGGGGGGTGGCGTGAGACAGGTCCTTCTTCTCACGTCACCCCCTAACCCCCCCCCTCCCCACCCCCCTCCCATCTCCTCTTTCGTCTCTGTCGGAGACGAAGGAGGATGGGGGAAGGGGTGGCCGCGTCGTTTTTTTTTTTTTTCTTAATTTTTTTTAAAAAATATTTAAGTGGCCTAATTGCATTTTCAGGTTCCGTTTTGTCAATTTGAACCATATTCAAAATTTAATTAATATCACCTTCTGATACTCCTACCCCTTGTCTAATTTACACTATTCTTGGTGTTGTTTGTGGGAAACATTCAAATCGCAAATTATGTTGTGCAACCGAATGCACCGTGCGCATGGTGCATACGATGCAAAACGACGTCGTTTTGGTTAAAAAAACGCGCGTCCCACTTAAAAAAAAAAAATCAGGTTCGATCCCCGACAATAGCATTTTTATCTATCCATAAATTCATAACTATATATCCACAAATTCATAACTATATATCTACAGTGAATGAATGAAGTAAAAATCCACAATGAATGAACTAAATATCCACAATGAATTGAATGAAGTAAATATCTACAATGAATGAACTAAATATCCACAATGAATGAACTAAATATCCATAAATTCATAACTATATATCCAAAAATTCATAACTATATATCCAGAAATTCATAACTATATATCCACAATAATACTATTGTCGAGAATCGAACTTGAATTTTTTTTTTTTTTTTTTAAGTGAGACGCGCGTTTTTAGTCAAAACGACGTCATTTTGCATCGTATGCACCATGCGCATGGTGCATTCGGTTGCACAGCATAACTATTGCGTTCAAATGATCTCATAGTTTCTACCTCAACAACATATTTTGGGCTAGTAGACGAACCAAATTTGAACATTTGCATTAATTGTCACTAAATTTCTTATTAACTCTAGTAAGAGAGAATGGACCAAGCAAAGTGGTGTCAAGATGGTTAGAACCTCTTATCTAGTGAGTTGATACAAACCTCTTACCCAACTGGTTGAATTATTTATTTATTTTTTTTCTGCCATGGCTAAAGTTTTTTTGCTCCCACAAGTTATAACCCTTTTAATCCCATGGTGGAAGCCTTAGTTCCCATGGTTGAATCTTTATCGTCTGACTGGTCAAAACATTTTAACTAATCGCGCGGAGTCTCTACTCTTATGATTGTAGCCTCCGCTCCCTTAGTCGTGACCCTTTTATTCTCACGGTTGAAACCTTAGCTTACATGATTGAATCTTTATTGTATGGTTGGTCGGAACCAAGCTTACATTGACCCCACTTGCCTCAAGCATCATTCCATTGGGTTGGGTATTAAGTATAAATAGAGATCCTCGTTGAAGCATCATCTTCTACCCTCTCATTCACTTGCACTCTTGTAATAATAAGTTAGATTGTTTTTCGAGTGACGAGGAAAACCCGTAGTCACTACTTGAGGGTATGCACTAGGTAAACCCTTAGTTGTGACCTTAGCTGATGAAGAACCACACGGAGATAAGCTAGTCAAAGTTGTCCATAGCTGACCGACTCAAACCAAGAAGGCCCCTCGTTAAGAGTTAAACTTATAATAACCTTGTGTGGTTACTAATTAAGTCAACAATCTGACTAACTTAGCTGGAGTAGTTGTCCCAAAGTTAAATTGCTTTGGTTGGCACTACACATTGACATTGTACTATTTATACTAAACTTTTGTATCTTGTGCTCACTTGAATTGTTCCGACTTTATTATCGATCAATCAATAGTCCAACGAACTTGTCTTCAATCAATGCGTGCATTATATTATAATATCCTAATCTCTTATCTTGTAGTGTAACTCTAGATCCTTACAATTGATCCAATTTCCGGTATTAAACCTAGAAATACTAAATAAACTTAGTAATTGAAAGATGGAAAGCACTATAAAAGTAATTGTACTTATATAATATATTACCTTCTAGCAGATCTAGAGAAGGAGTCCCTCTTTTCAGTGTTAGATGAAACAGAAAGCCTCCCTTGAACAGTTGCAAACCTCGGGGAGCCAACTAGTCTCCCCGGAGACTCACGCCCCGGGGACGACGACGAATTAGCCACCATTCTTTTAGCTTCCTTTAGCCAATCCTGCGTTAGCCTACTGCTCACACTCCTCGTGCTAGACTCAAAATCCTCATCCTCATCATCTATCAGCCCCGCTCTGGTGTAACGTGCTTCCCTGCCGGCGGCGCTAGCCCGCCGCCGGCTAGACCGCGTGCTGGAATCGAAGTAATCTTCTTCTCCGCGACTGTGATCATTCACGAAACGCGGCGTTCCCTTGCGGGGGGCATTGCAGGCTTTAACAGACCCCGAATCGTAAAACTCCTCGCTTTCTTGACGGCGATTATTATTGTCGCCGGTAAGGTTGTACTCTTTCTTCTCCACCTTAATCGTCCCGAAGAACATGTCGTTTATGAAGTCCGTCAAGTCGGGAACGTTGTTCTCATCGTTCCTGCCGAATCTCCTCTCCATGGCTTCGATCTCACAAGACTTCGAATTCCCCTTTTCTTGGCCGGGCTGGGAAGAAAGGAGTAATGGCGGTCGTGAAACAATGCGGCCTGGCTGAAAGTCCAAGAAGTAGACGATGATATTGGATTAGGAACTAACATTGCTAACAATAAACATTAAATGAATTAGCCAATTCTAAAACCATGGCCGATTGGCCGGCATGAGTTAATATGATGTCTTTTTCCTTTTGTAGTTTTGTGGACTACTTGGCCTCGCTGGGGATAGCCGATAATGGCAATGGCTTCAAATGGGTATAAAGTTTTAGTATTGTAGGTTGCATTGTTCGTTGTTGAACATTTCATAGGAAGCTCCAAACAATGTTTTTAATTAGTTAAAGTTAGTGAAAATGGAATGTTAGTACTTTGGTCTCTTAGTTCTCACAATGTTCCCCTAGTTCTTGACTGAGTCCAATGCATGTTATCCTCATTTTTTTTTTCCCTTTCAACGAGTTCGGTTTACAAAAAATAATTCATATGCAACAAGGTCGAACCCATAATATGTTGAATAAAATTAACTTTGATACTAAATTAAATGATGTATTCCATCTCAACTAGAAACTAAATTAATAATTGTGTTGTAATTTGACCTACTCATTAGCTCAATCTACTGGGATTGTTGTACTGTAACGCGTCGATGGTACATATGAATAAGATTGCAATATGGAATGGAAGAGTAGAGCGAAAAGTAAAACACAAGATATATCAATCTCAAAAACACCTTTCTTATTAATCTATGAAGATGTGTGTATATATATATACACAAATACAACTCTTCATTCTCTCAACATAATAAAGAAGTTAGAGGAAGGGCAAATGAAAAGACTAAATGATAATTGTTATTCAATAATATATTTATAACAAATTGAACCATACTTTTATATATATATATATATATATATATATATATATATATATATATATATATATATATATATATATATTTTATATGTTCACATGTAACAACAAGTACATTTATTTTCTGATACAAATGCTTATCAGCAGTGGAATTATTTGTTATATTGATTCTTAGATGTTTACAGCAACGCACCAGTGGTCTAGTGGTAGAATAGTACCCTGCCACGGTACAGACCCGGGTTCGATTCCCGGCTGGTGCATAGATTTTTACGTCCAAAATTCTTGTATTCAGTACTGAAATTATGCTTTTGTTGCATCAAGGCGAAATTCATAAATATAAATCTCACGCGGTTTAAATTGAATTCAGAAAAGAAAAAGAGAATGCAAATTTGAGGAGTAAGAATTATACAGTGGATGAGTTCCAGACGATTTTGATAACATTGCAATTGGCTTTTCTATTCTTACTCCATCCTTGTTAAACTATTGATAGACATAGTCTCTATTACTGGTTTTCTTCATGCCATATGAACTTTTGAGTTATCATCCGAAACGGTAGTATTAAATCGCCAACTACTATGTGGTGTACTAACGAAGCGGAAGCGAGAATGTCGGCTTGAGTAACGCCAAACATAATTCAATGTCACGAAAACCTAAGGATTGCTCTGCAACATTCATCCACAGAGAGTGAGTCAGGGCCTAAAATCAGGCCGAAAGGCGTAGTCCATGGACACATACAACAGGTGAATATTCCTGTACTATAGCTTTGATGGGTCCCGAGGGACGAAGGAGGCTAGGTTAGCCAAAAGATGGTTTTTGGTTCAAGAACGTAAAGTGCCCTTTCAGGGTAAGAATTAAGAAGGGGTATACCACAATTGGTGCATTGGTCTTTTGCAGTGTTAATGCTTTTTGCTGGTTGGTTTCATTATCATAAAGCAGCTCAAAAATTGACTTGGTTTCAAGATGTAGAATCTATGTTGAATCACCATTTGGCGGGTCTACTCGGACTTGGGTCTACTCGGACTTGGGTCTCTCGCTTGGGCGGCATCAAGTACATGTATCTTTACCAATTAACCAATTTCTAAACTCTTGAGAAAATGTTGAGAGGCAATGTTCGAGTACGAGGCGCTACGGTGCTGAAGTAAGGCTGACCTTACCCCTGCAAGTGTACCCATTTGCAATCTTATTTGGCATGCCACATGGAATTATTTTTTATTTTTATTTTTTTTTTTGTTATATGATGTGTAATGCAAACTTGCATCTTTTGCAAGTTTGCAAAGTACAAAGAAGGCTGCCGAATGGCAGCCTTCTTTGTACTTTAGTATTGCAAGGCAGCCATGCTGCCTGCAAATATGTACTTTTCTTTACTTTTTTATTCTTTTTTATTTTATTTATTTATATATATATAATATAAAATAAAGGTGGGACCCATTTTTTAGAGTAAGAGAGATTTGTAGGGATGTAGTGTGAATAGGAGATGATTTGCAAATAAGATGATGTGGAAGTGGGACCCATTTTTGAGAGTGGGAGATGTTTGCAGGGATAAGGACAGCCTAACCCATGCGGCCATGCCATACTTTCAGGAAAAGCTTGAATGATCAACCACAAAAGTGTACTGTACATGTACCTGATGATGACACCTACCATTCTAAATAGATAGTCACAGATTAAAAAATTGAGAAAGTATAAAACAGATATTTCCATATACAGAATTAGTGTAAAAAAATTGCAAATTCTCAATTGAAGTTAATGCTTGAAAGTTGAAACTTAAATAACTAAGATCATATAGGGACTAAATTCCCTCTTGCGGCATATGACTCAAATATTAAAAGTGTAATTTTTTTTTTCTAAAATTAAAACACCATTAATTAATCCAAATCTCCAATTTCAAATTCCAACTCAAAAATATTTTATTTTATTTTTTGAAAATAAAGTTGAGCTACTTGTATTACTGTAATAAAACTGAGACAAAGCCAGAGAGACAAAATCTCAATACAAGTTACAACGAGTTTGCCTGAGATCGAGTAGGCTATTGAAACTAAAGAGCGTGCTAACATATTAGAAATTCTAGAAACTAACGAAATAAAACAAATATGAAATAATGAATAATGGTTCTACAATCATGGCTAGCAATGCCAACAAATATATAAATAAAGTCTTTTATATTAATAAATTTGTTTTTGTTTAAAATTTTAACAAAAAAATTATTTTATTCACATTTGTAATATAATAATTATAATAATTTTTTAAATAATTTTCATAAATAATAATGATAATAATAATTTATTTCGTAATGAATTTATTAATATGTTTATTAAAATTGTATTTAAAAGCTTAATTTAAAAAGAAACAAGATTAAAGAAAAGCCTATGTATGTAGATGCTTCTTGTGAAATAAATAGAAGTCTTGAGTTATTTGGGCTGTCCGGCTCACTCGCTATATTTCGTGCAAGCCTACTACTTCGATCATCAACTTTATCAATTTCGTACTATCGAGTAATTCTTTTATCACATTTAATTTTGTCCTCCTTAACCCATTAATATATATATATTTTTTATATCATTTTGGGTCAACCATTGGTTTTAAGTTAAGGCTGACATTTCTAATTGAATAGTTATGCTGTGCATCCGTATGCACCATGCATGGTGCATACGGATGCAAAAACGACGTCGTTTTATTAAAAACGCACGTTTTCCCTTTAAATAAAAATTCAGGTTCGATTCCTAGCAACAACATTATGTTGTTCATTCATTATGAAATTTTAGTTCATAGATTATGGAATTATAGTTCATCGATTATGGAATTGTAGTTCATCGATTCTGAAATTTTAGTTCATAGATTCTGGAATTTTAGTTCATTCATTCTGAAATTTTTAGTTCATAGATTAGATTCTGGAATTATAGTTCATCGATTATGGAATTATAGTTCACCGGTTCTGGAATTTTAGTTCATATGTTGTTGCTGGGAATCGAACCTGATTTTTATTTTAAAGGGGAGACGCGCGTTTTATTAAAACGACGTCGTTTTTACATCCGTATGCACCATGCATGGTGCATACGATGAGAACTGATTGTATTATATTTTCTGAACTTGATTACAATGAGATCAGATGATGTGAATATATAGAATAGAGAGTCACAGTGTGACAATGATAAGAAGTAGAGAGTCACAGTGTGACAAGGATAAGAAGTTCTAAACAGACTCATATACATAAAGTCCTAATACTCCCCCTCAAGCACAGTGTATACTAGTAACCTGTAGCTTGTCCCTTAAGGAAGAAAATCTAGGTCCAGGCAGAGCTTTGGTGAAGATATCAGCAAGTTGATCCTTTGTGGAGATGAAGTTGACTTGGATATCGCCCGAAGCTACTCGATCACGAACAAAATGATAGTCAATCTTCACATGCTTGGTGCGGGCATGAAAGATTGGATTGGCACTCATATATGTAGCTCCTAGATTATCACACCATAATTTTGGAATGGAAATACCCGGAATCTGTATCTCACGCAATAATGACATAATCCATAGAACCTCAGCACAAACATCTGCAAGAGCTTTGTATTCAGCCTCAGTGGATGACCTGGCAACAGTTCTCTGTTTCTTGCAAACCCATGATATAAGATTACTCCCCAAGAAAACAGCAAAACCACTCGTGGATTTTCGATCGTCAGGACAACCAGCCCAATCAGAATCAGAGAAAGCATGAATGTCTCTAGATGAGCACCGTCGTATGCGTAAACCATGATCAACTGTTCCCTTAACATACCTGAGTACCCGTTTGAGCTGCTCCCAGTGTGATATGGTGGGAGCATGCATATGCTGGCATAACTGATTAACTGCAAAGGATAGGTCAGGTCGTGTGACAGTGAGATATTGCAGTGCTCCAGCTAGACTCCTGTACTGTGTGGGATCATCATATAGATCTGAATTGAAGGGGATAGTTTTCGAGACAGAGATAGGTGTAGAAAGGGGTTTGCATTCAGACATTCCAGCCCGTTTTAAAATATCATTCATATACCGTTGTTGAGATAAAATAATCCCATTGTCACTCTTAACTGTTTCAATACCTAGAAAAAAATTTGGTTCACCAAGATCTCTGATTTTGAATGTAGCAGACAGTTTGGACAAGAGCTGAGACATAATACCCTGATCACTTCCCATTACAAGAATGTCATCCACGTACACCAATAGATAAACCAAAGCAGAGTCTTTAGA